TGGCGTGATGTTTGAGCTGTCGAGCCCAGGACTTGAACTGGAGTTGGCCATGTGGGAGTCTGACACCTTAACTACCACTCCTGCTGGCCCCTTAAGTTCTTACTTTACAGGACAGGTTTTCCCATTTGTGTTCTTAAACTGCGAGGCTGACCTGTGTGGTAGTTTGGCCTGGCTTCTGGCTGCTGTCCTTCCAGTTGAATGGGTGCAGAGGACTGTAGAGAGAAAGGGAAACGAGAAATGAATGTCCATTTGAAATGCTCATTATTTTACCCTTCCATTTACAGGCGAGCGCTATGTGATGACGTTTTTGAATGTATTAAATTTTGGTGATCAGGGTAAGATGAAAATTTCTAGTATAATAATTAAAGATGAATGCTGTTAATAAATCCTAATATTTTCCTCTGTAATTTGTTACATTTAATGAGAAATGAAGATTGTAAAATGAATCCTGAAGATTATAAAGTGTAGGCCTTTGCACTGACCACACCTCGAATATGACTTGGGTGGCAGGTTTCCTGCTGCCCCCACCCCGCCCCGCCGCCTCCGACAGAACCCTGGTGTTCATTTGGGGGTGGGGAGGTGAGAGGAGAGGAAGAGACGACCTCATTGTTACAGTCAGAGATAAGCCCATGTTTGTGTGGCTAGGTCTTAGTATTTTTTCCTATTTATAGTCCAACATAATCCCAAAATAACACAAATAGAAATAGGGGAAAAAATCAACTTCTAACTAAAAGTGTGCTGAATCTTAACTGCCATCGAGGTCAGTGCTCTGGTCCTGGTGGTGACAGCATTGCTGCTTTGCCGGATGTTACCGTTTGGGGAGATGAGTAAGTCGTACGTGGGGTCACTATTACTTCTTATAGTTGTGTAGCTACCATTCTCACAGGGTAAGACGTTCCATTAAACACACTGAGTTAGAAAATAATTTTTTTTTTTTTCTTTTTAGATTTTTGCCATCGGGGGCATGGTCTCACTGTAGAGACAGAGAGAGAGGGAAAATGAGAAACCATCCCCCCTGGAGGAGGGCCAAACCACAATCCCTTCTCCTCCATTCCCCTGTCAGTATTTTGGGCATGCACGTACATGTGCCCAGGGTATTTTTCAAGCGTCCAAATCTGAGACTCAGACTGTGGAGTCAGTCATGTGGGATCTAGCACCTTAATGACTATACTTCCTGCTGGCCCTAGAAAACCAATTTTTGGGAGGAGGGAGAGGTTTTTGCTATAGGGCGCGTGTGCTTGCCTGAATGACAGAGAGAAACAGAGAGACAGAAAGTGAGAAATCACCCCCTAGGGGGATGGCCACGCCACAATCCCTTCTCTGTTCTCCTCTTGGGATCTTGGGCATGCATGCATACGCACCTGGCGTGAGTTTAAGCCACCGGGTGTGGGACTCGAACTGCGATCGACTACGTGGGAGTCCAATGACATAGCCATTATACCAACTGTTGGTCCCAGAAAACCAATTTTAATAGAGCTGTGAAAATTAAAATAGAAAGCCCAGCATGATTATTGTTTCTCGTTTTGTTTTGTAGGCGTGTATGACACAGTGAATAATCTTGGCTCTCTTGTGGCCAGATTAATCTTCCCGCCAATAGAGGGGAG